AACTTCATATATGACTTGATTTTCATATATGAAGATTCTTATATGAAATTACCAAATTTCACATGTGAAATGGATTTCATATATAAAATTTATTTTTTCATATGTGAATTGTATAACTTCATATATATGACTTGATTTTCATATCTGAAAATTCTTATATGAAATTACCAAATTTCAGTGTGAAATGGATTTCATATATGAAATTTAGTTTTTCATATGTGAATTGTATAACTTCATATATGACTTGATTTTCATATTTGAAAATTCTTATATGAAATTACCAAATTCCACATGTGAAATGGATTTCATATATAAAATTTAGTTTTTCATATATGAAATTAAAATTTCATATATGACCTGCTTTTCATATATGGAAATGTAATATGTGAAAAAGAGAATTTCATATATGAAACTGAAATTTCATATGTGAAATTACCTTTTCACATGTGAAATTCTAATTTCATATATGAAAATCTGCATTTCATATATGAAAATCTTCATTTCATATATAAAATTCCAATTTCATATATGAACTTTAATGTGAAATTTTTGTAAGGGCGCTTTACCCGTCGAAGACTACAGTTAGGTAGTCGAAAGCTCGTTTTAAATAAAAATTTTAGTCAGAGAACGTTTATGTTTTTAATTATGTCTAAACCTGGCTACGCTATCTCCATATTTTCTGTGTTTGCAGATTTATCTGATGACGTGCTTAACACATCGTTTCAACAACTTGATGTTGATGGTATTAAATTTTAATACATATCTGTGTATATATAGATGTATTAGATCATAATGTACATTCCATCATACCATAGTCTTTCGAGACATGGTCTGGAAACTCAGTAAACTTCAAAGTGGTTTTAATGAGCTGGGATGTTATGTTGAGCCGTACCTTACACCGTGCACATTTTTTGTTTAGGTTGATTAATATTTAAATCGCATGGTTGAATGACTGAACTAAAACTTTGCTATTGGATGATTCGTACATTATACTGAAATACAATGTGTTCATTGACCGTGCACCGTGCACAAAACTGCATAAACGCGAACAAAAAGATAGAACAAAGACTTTAGCGGAGTTTCCAAACCATGCTTTGAAAGACTATGATCATACTCATGTACTATTAAATTGCATTGTTATATATTTATAAAGAATCTTAATTATATTATACACTTAAAAAGAGGTAATAAGTTCATAAGCAAGTTTGTAAACAAAAAATCAATTGGCTACTAGAGACATAGTAGCTTTGCAATCAAATGCTTAGTTTACCAACAAGTTTTTGAATAACATTATGAACTTTTCAACTTCAGAATGAATTTGCACACTTCAAAACAAAGTTCGGAACATTTAGTGAAAACATATTCAAAATTATACCTATTTTACTCTGTCTAGTGCCAGATGATTTTTCTCAAGGGATGATTCTTGTGTCTTAATGGGGTTAATTGTATATCATTGTATGGTTATAATATATTAATCCATATATTAATCCATATCAATCCTGGGTATTACGACAGGGTAGGGTGTGAGCATGTTTGGCCAGACCAGAAGTGTGTGGCACAATTCGTGCAATTGTTGCAAGTGTGCTAATAGTTCTCAGGCTCTGCATACAGGATGTTTTATATCTATGTGTTATGTCAACTTCTTTCAACATGCTTCCAACACAAAATTTGATGTAAACAACATTGTTTCTTTACATTATAAATATTATTTTATATCATAAAATTTGTGGCAATTTAATGCAATCATATTTTATAAGATTTATTTATATATGTACAAAATAATATTGTTCTTGACATTCACCACAGAGTTGTTTAATATAAATCGTCTAATATGGCAAAAATCCTATGGTATCTAAAAAATTAGTTAAAGACGATAACAAAGACATCTTAGTGATACAAGATCAGATTAAAAGCATGGAAGAATGCTTATTAAAAGATGGAAATGTTGCTTCAGCAGTGGATGCTAGTAAAATGGATTTAGCTAAAACACTTTCAGCTAAACACTGTCTAAACTTTGAACATTATTACAAATTCCATGCAGCGTTAGTTACTTTGTATCAACACAAAATGCAAAAGCTTCAAGATAGTCAGGAAGATGGTGCAATAAATTTGTCTCAAAAAGAACAAATTGCAAAAGAAATGAAAGTCCTACGATGTCGACATCCAAATATCTTTTCAATACATTCCTCGATATTCGTACAGATTCTTCTTTTGCGCATAGGATCTTCCACAAACAAACCATTTCATGGACAAGTCTTTCAATTTCATGTAACACATCACTGATTTCGTCCATAGATATTACAGTAAATTAATTTACATTATTCAAACGGCAATTTGCATTGACGGCCATCTTGAATTCAAATCTCCCAGGCTCTCTCTTCGCCCCAACCTCCCCAACAATCCCCCGCGCCTATAGCTCACCCGGAGCTTTGAACGCTATTAAATGCTAAAGAGCCTGGGTACGAGACTGGTTCCAAAGTCTAATCCGGCAGAATAACAGAACCAGTGCAGGAATTGATTTTTTTTTATTTTTTATTTATTTAATTTTGCCCAAAATAGCTATAATTACATTAGTTTTCGATTATAATTACATTACAGGGCTAGGAGACTACCAGAAACATCTACAGGCTTTTATTTTAGTCCCCTAGGTTACAATAATACTAATAGATTATATAATAAAGTTTTTGACAGTTCGAAACTTAAAACAAAACAAATTATGAATATAGACTATAGTACTATTTACAGTGCTAAGAAGTTGATTCTTGTATATATAGTCTAAGAATATATAATATTATTTTTCAATAGGAAGTACTTTTTAAGTTCACGTTTAAAAATGTAGAGATATCTTATATCTTTATATTTATTATCTAAGCCATTCCAAATATCAACTCCACTGTTCGATAGAGTGTGTTTTGCATAATTAGTTCTATTATACGATTTATGGAGCTTGGATGTTTTTCTTGTATTGTGGTGATGAACCTCATTGTTAGTTACGAAGTAGTTCGTAAATATTTCAGGAAGATTTTTTAAATTGAAGTATCGAAACATGAATATACTGGTTAAAAAGTCGTTGATTTTATAAACGTTCAGAATTTCTAAGTTTTTAAAAATCGTTTCAGTATGCTCAGAATATGGTTTGAATGTTATTAAACGGAAAATTTTCTTTTGTATTCTCATTAGTTTTCAATACAGTATATCGACAGACGATGGTATATCCTATATATAGCGACATATCGAAAAACTATAGTTACTAAATGAATACAGTGCGGATCATAAGATGTCCAAATTCGCTTTGGCAAAGATTTACAAAATTTGTAAAGGGATACTAATAATGTCAATGTAGGTAAATAATTTTCCTATTTACAATATCAATATTCTAAGGGAATTAATAGAAACAGAATTTATTTACTTTTGATTCATGTACCGCGAGTAATTTTGAGATATGGTACGTTGCTATTCATTTGATATCATGCGTGAAATTTTGGGATGTTTATACTGTAAATTTAAACATTGATTATTATGCGCTGATTTTCTCACTCCCATGGTGCTAATGAGTTTAACTTGGTTTGCGCCGATATTATAATACTATCGCATTCGCATGTGCTGTGTAAACATAGTATATATATATATATATATATATATATATATATATATATATATATATATATATATATATATATATATATATATATATAGAGCTCTCACGAGCATCATTCATTATATTCATAGATAATTTATAGCAGGTATATGATGACTGGCCTCACACTACACCGATTTGTATATAGTCCTTCCAGCATTCATATGCTGTATTATACAGGATCGTTTGCTTTTCACAACTTGAATCGACAATTGGACAGTGTTGATGTTAATATTCTGAATCCATTCTCTATATTATGTAGTGGATATATATAGATATTATGCCTCAAATTCAACTTGTCCAATGAATAAACAGCATTTGTACCACGTCATAATGTGATTTTTTACGGTATTTCACTCAAATTCATGATTTCGCAATCCAGCGTGGGATACTATAATATCCCACGGCAGATCCACCGTGGGATATTATAGTATCCCACGCTCACGCGTGACGCGTGGACACCACGCTCTAAAAAAATATGCCGTTCGCGAGCTGTTGTTTGTGATTTCGTATTTTCGTACAGAATATTTGACTTAGCAAAACATTTTCAAGACGTACTGTATGTTACCTTTAATGATCCAAAGGATACATGCTCAAATATTTTAAAGAGGAAACGTTAAAAACTCAGGTATACATAAGAAATTAAAAATTGTATTGATATATTGGCGTATTTTATATTAAATATTCAGCAAGTTTTATTTAAAACTTAGTGAGTACTTTAACTTTCGGTATAATATATCATTTATAGACCCTCCGCTCAGGGAATTCGGCGTTATTTCCCTCAGTGATGATATTTTCCTCGGGGCAAAGCCCCTCAGAAAATATCATCACTTTGGGAAATATTACGCCGAATCTCCCTCGCTCCGGGTCTATAAATGATAAATATTCACGGGCATCATGATATGTGTATTGATAGGTGTATCAGGTATCAGTCATGTTAACATCAAAATCTAAACGCTCCGCAAAACAATTGAATAATTCTGCAACAAGTACACCTATGAAGCCAATTGCAAAACAGGCGAAATTGCAAGACGCAAATGATCAAAGTTATGAAGAATTATTTGCTCTCATTTCATCAATGAACGAAAAATTAAAGAAACTTGACAAACTGGACATTATCAAAAGCAAAGGATGATGGTCATAAAGTTAAACTCATTAAAGATAAACTTTACATTAATGGACAACTATATTATGCATCTTAGTAAGTAAACGACTATTCTTTATTAGAATCATTAATAGATAGATTAAGATAAATACATTCAAATGACAAATCTACCTAAACACGGTGAAACATCTAATACACGCAACCGTATTATATTAGGAATATCCATTGTGTGCGAAAACTGCATGAGCTATTTTCATCTAAATGATTGTCAAACCGAGAATTTAGAGTGTCCTAACAATGACAAAAATTTTATCTGCAGGAAATGTGAAGTGGATAATCTTCCCTTTAATCGACTTAACGAAACAGATTTTCAAAATACGATAACAAGCTTGACCGCTGACAAAATAGAACATGCATGATAATATAAATTTGAGGAATTTGATTTTTAACCCATTTGATAATAAGCATGCACGCAAAAGGCGATAATAGTACTTGTATAGCAATGATGGATTGGAGGACTTAAATCCCGACTATAATTTTTATACTGATGTTAACAATCAATCAATAGAAAACAGCAAGTATTTTCTCACGCAAGAATTTGCTGAATTAATCGATAAAATATGCGTACACGAAAATCAATTTTCTGTACTAAGTCTAAATATTAGAAGCATACGGAACAAGGCTGATCACTTCTTAAACTACCTAAAATCACTTAACCACACACTTACCGCAATATTTGCGATATTGATAATTTTAACATACCAGGATACATAAACTATAACCTTAACCGCGTAAGTCTAAAGTAGGTGGAGGTGTCTGTATTTATATTAAAGAAAACATTATGGTTAAAATTCGAGAGGATATAACAAATGAATGTAATTCAAACAATATTGAAAGTATTTTTATTGAATTAATACATCCTATAGAAAAGAATACAATCTTAGGTGTAGTCTACAGACCACCGAATAATATGTTTAGTGGTTTTGAAGAAAAAATTAAGTGTGCTCTAAGCAAATATATAAAGAAATTAAAGAATGTTATATTCTTGGAAATTTTAACATAGACCTTCTGAAGCACGAAAAATGCGAATATTCTGCCCGATTTCTAAATCAAATGATGTCATCTATGTTGTTTCCGATCATATCAAAACCTACACGAATAACAAGTAAGACAGCAACACTTATATATAACATATTTACCAATTTAATACATAAGACACAGCTGAGTGGAATACTATATATAGTGACATATCAGATCACTTGCCAACATTTCTAATTAACAATGACTACACTGTTAATTTCGG